AAACTGTTCTTAACCTGAAGCACCACTTTAGCTAATGGGGCCTCCTGCTGCTACCACGCCGCCAGAGCACAATTTCTGTTCTCATCCTGAAGCAAAGTTCTTAACCTGAAGCACTATTTCTGGGTTAGCGGAGTCTGTAACCTGAAGCGTATGTAACCCGAGGTACCACTGTATCCAGGCAAGCAAGGGACATTACCAGAGTTCAACAACACATTCCAGCCAAGCAAAGCTATTTGAGGTGTGAAGCAGGACCAATGACGTGTGTAGCCTTGGGAGAGTTATACTGCCAGGCAGAGAGGTCTGAGGGCCACATTTGGACCCCGCTGCCAGAAGGCCCCCACCCTGGTTTAGACTACACACCGAACATAGATTCTGCAGGTCTGAGCTTTGAAATCCCCTGAATGGCATAAATACCGTTAAAAGGTAAAGGTAAAGGTACCCCTGCCCGTACGGGCCAGTCTTGACAGACTCTGGGGTTGTGCGCCCATCTCACTCAAGAGGCCGGGGGCCAGCGCTGTCCGGAGACACTTCCGGGTCACGTGGCCAGCGTGACATCGCTGCTCTGGCGAGCCAGAGCCGCACACGGAAACGCCGTTTACCTTCCCGCCAGTAAGTGGTCCCTATTTATCTACTTGCACCCGGGGGTGCTTTCGAACTGCTAGGTTGGCAGGCGCTGGGACCGAGCAACGGGAGCGCACCCCGCCGCGGGGATTCGAACCGCCGACCTTTCGATCGGCAAGCCCTAGGCGCTGAGGCTTTTACCCACAGCACCACCCGCGTCCCTTAAATACCGTTAAGTCTTGCCTTTACTTCAACTCTCCTCTCTTCTTTGCTCAACAAATTCATTTTATATCTGAATTCATCATCCCAGCACCCCAGTAACCGAGTTCAGACAGTTTCATAACCTGCGGATTTACAAGTGAAACCTGTGATGGATCTATAAGTCATTTCACTCTACTTTTTACTGCATCATCCAAATAAAAAATAAAAAATAACAACAATAAAACTGAACCAGGTTCCTAATTCTGGCACAAGCCAATGCAGTTGTCCATAAAGGAAGGAAGAGTGCTGACATTTGTCTGCCTCATTTCTGCCCATTCCCATCATGTAAATTGTCTTTGTTTGCTTTCAAAGATAGCTGCAAGCGTTCTGAAAAACAGAAGCCTCAAATATTCACGGCAACGTATTTGTACAAGGATTCACGCTGTTAAGTTTCTAATCTTTGCAGATGAAAGAGCCCAGAACAACAACTTTTATTTCCCCCCAGAATTAACGTAGAGGAGCATGACTTGAATTAAGTACAGAAAGGATTTCATAAATTTAACAACAGCGTATATGAGCAGTCTGGCAAAAGTGAAATTCTTTTGACTAAAAAAAGACTCTTCATTGAAGCAGGAAGAGAATTAAAGACTCAAGAAATAATGGCCTCCCCCCCCCAACTGGAACTCGCTGGAACTCAGTTCTGGCACATCATGGGTGGGCGCCATTGCCATTCTAAGAGAACGAGGGAGGTGTTCATAGTGAGTTCCAGCATCTCTTTTCCTAGAAAAAATAGCACTGGTGAATTACTTAATTAGTAATGTGAGAGGTGCTAGAGTACAAACCTCCCTCCTGTGATCTAGTAGAAGTGCCTATATTTTAACCCTACTGCAGTCTGATTTAGGAAAGAAAAAAATATTCTGTATATTTTCTGCCAAGCTGCTGATATGAAGGGATAATAATAATAATAATAATAAATTTTATTTATATCCCGCCCTCCCCAGCCTTAGCCGGGCTCAGGGCGGCTAACAACAATAAAACAGTACAAAAGTACAACATAAACAACACTCTAAAATCATTCATTCTAAAATTAATTAATTCAAGCCACTGGCAGCCATTGGGCCAGAGCTCTGCGAAGATTGCCGAAGGAGGGAGTCAGGCTGTGCCCTTGCCAAAGGCCTGGTGGAACAGCTCTGTCTTGCAGGCCCTGCGGAAAGATGTCAAGTCCCGCAGGGCCCTGGTCTCTTGTGACAGAGAGGGAGGCACTCTCAGGACTCTGGTGCATTGTGTATGAACTCTGGCAAAAATTAAGCATGGGTGTTGCTCCTAGTTGCCCTCTTAAAGATGGCGGCTTAGCTACAGGTGGACTTCCCAAGCTTGCTTGCGTGCCGAAAGCACAACCGTTTATTTTTCTCTGTTCTGGACTTGTGTCTTTCATTTATTCATTGCTCTGACTCTTTAGGAACTTTCAGGCTTTACTTTTAGCTCATTATTTGATTTCAGTAGGTTGTTAATTCTCAGGGGCTGCCTGGTGACTACCACAACATTATTGCTTGCCGAGATCTCCTAGGCCATCTTACCATCTGTTGCCTTCTGCTTCCTTCTTTAGAAAATAGTAAGTGGTCTTATTGTGATATGTACCGGTACATCAAACAGAAAATGTTGTGGTGGCAACACCACCCATTTACTTTCAGGCAAACATTACTGGGGGTGGCTTAATCATCCAAGTTCCTTTTTTCTTTTACTTGGAAACCACCACACTTTCTTCAAATCCACTCCGACACCCTTTCCCGCCCCCCGCCCCCAAGTTGAGGACATTGTGCAGAAACACAAAAAGCTGCCTTATACTGAGTTGGGCCATTGGTTCCTCTACTACAGTTTTCCCCAGCAGCTCTTCGGGATTTCAGACGTCTCTCCCAGTCCTGCCTGGAACCTTTGACAGGCAAATCAAAGGCTTTATCACTGAGCCACAATCTTCCCCCTAAGAAGGGATGTGGGAAACACACTGATGATCACGTGACAAATATCTTGGCCAATTCCCTACTGGCTTATTGATGTCTGGAATAGCAAAGATAGTTGGCTGACAAAAAGAATAAGTTGGGTGAAGATTAAAAATTGAAACATCCTGCTGCTGGAATATTGTGAGGAGATAATTGTGCAAACCACCAAGTAAAATAAAAGCAATAGACACAGATGCTTTAATACAACAATAAATATAATGATGTATCCCAATGGATGCCTGATCCAGAAACTAGTGTGACAACCAACTAGGCAACGTAATCACTACACGCATGGAGTAAGTGAAGTTAACTCTATTCAGAGAAACAGGATCTGCTTAGGAGTGCCATGCCTAATGAGCACAGCAACTCACTCTTCTTCGGTAGGTCTTTTCCCTATGTGGCCTTTGCGGATACTGAAGGCCTTCCCACAGCTGCCTAAATCTCCTCTTCAGGTCTTTCCCAAGCAATCTGAGACTACGCCGGCATGTCTGCCTTTACTCCTCCTGCTTCATTCCTCTCCTGGTCCTGGTTTGTCCCAGCAGCAGCTGGAGGCGCCTGTGTTTCTTCACCAGGTTGACTCATCTCTGCCTCTTGGCCTCCCTCCTCTTCTGCTTTCACTTCTGATTCTGGACTTCTCTCTGTCATGGACTCCCCCTGCTCACTAAATCCTGATACCTCTTCAGCTTCCAACACCTCCCCCCCCTGTCTTCTCCCTCTTCTCCCTCTGACCACTCATCATCGTCCCACCACCTAGCTCTAAGCCTTCTTCCCTTGAGGGTTCCTCAGCTGGTTCCTCCCAGCATCCCTCTGCATCCAACCAACAAAGGTAAAATTTGAATTTGTTGCTCACTTTTGCCACTGGCCCACCCACCACTGGTCTGTGGCCCCCAGAAGATTGTCCTGATGGGAATGTGGCCCGCAGGATGAAAAAGCTTCCTTACTCCTACAGTATAACCTAAACTTCACAGGCCAAGGGTAGCTGATGGACTGGATGTATGGACGAGTTTTGTCTTCTGGTTTTAATTTCTCTCTCCCATGGTGCTTTAATTCAATTTTACTTGAAACTGGTTATTGCTACATAGGATATTGAAGGTCTGGATGATGCAGAAGATGAAGCCTCAGCTTTCAAGACTCAGATGGGGCTTGGTAGAAGGCTTTGTGTTGGGGGCAAAGAACACCATGTTCATGTATTAGGGAGTATTAATAATACTACTACTAATAATTTATTTATACCCCACCCATCTGGCTGGGTTTCCCCAGCCACTCTGGGCGGCTTCCAACAAAACACTAAAATACAATAACCTATTAAACATTAAAAGCTTCCCTAAACAGGGCTGCCTTCAGATGTCTTCTAAAAGTCTGGTAGTTGTTTTTCTCTTTGACATCTGGTGGGAGGGCGTTCCACAGGGCAGGCACCACTACCAAGAAGGCCCTCTGCCTGGTTCCCTGTAACTTGGCTTCTCGCAGCAAGAGAACCGCCAGAAGGCCCTTGGAGCTGAACCTCAGTGTCTGAGCAGAAGTAGAAGCAAGCTAGTTCTCAACTGTGTTTATTTAAGAAATATATATACTTAAAAGCCCCCAAGGCAGCATACAAAATCAATAAATAAAATAGCCCATTCAATACATGCAGGCCACACTCTCAAGCATTGAAGTACAGGATGGGGAAGGGCACGTCTGCAAAGATGCCACACAACCACCCCACCCCATATGTGTTCATTGAACATGTGGGTAGCAGCTGCAAGATATATAAAAACAGCTCATATAAAATACCAGCGATATATACAAACAAAGGGAGCTGACTCACAATAACAGTCGTGAATACCATTTACACATGGGAAGATGGAATTGGCCTGGCGTCTAAAAGATAGCAATGATGACAAAAGGCAAACATTTACACAGAGCTCCGTAGTTGCAGTGGCCACCACTGAAAATTCGGCTTGACAGAACCCACTTGCCTAACCTCCAAAAGGTCTGTTGTGCACAGATCTCAGTCGATGGTCAGGTTGCATTGGAGACCACAGTCTTATAAGATGCTAGGCTGTTTCGTTATCCAGGTCTTGCCCTATATAAAGCTTTAAACACCGAAACCAGTCAACAGCCTGGTGGCTTCATCCTGCATCAATTGAAGTTTCTAGGCACTTTCCAGATCCACCTGTATCCAGATAGCCGCACTCCTAGTGGAGATGTCAGGAGCCAGGCTAGCTTGGCTGTGTGATGTCATAGAATCATAGAACTGTAGAGTTGGAAGGGTCCCTGAGGATATCAAGTCCAACTGCCTGTGATGTAGGAATATGCAGCTGCCCCATATGGGGATCAAACCTGCAACCTTGGTGTCATCATCACCATGCTCTAACCAACTGAGCTATCCAGGCAGGGGCAAGGTCAGTGGTGTGGGGCTTCATTCCTCTTCTCAGTTTAATCTGAGTGCAGCTTTGCACAGGCACTTGGACTCAAGCGCTTTAAGGGGGATAGACCGTTGCATAGCATCCGAATCCCAAGCAATCATCAAATGTTGTGCACCAGTGAGCCAAAGCTCTCCAGCCTTCCACGCAGTTCCCATCAGTCCAAGAAGTGCATTTAGCATCATTTGTACCAAGGCGTGACCCTTTTAAAGAGATACCTTGCGTTACTCACCAGCATCTCCCTAAAGTGATCCCCCATTAAGAAGTAAAAGATGGGGTTAATTACACTGTTCAAAAAGGCAATGGGCCTTGTAACAGTATAAATCATACTGATAAGGTCCTTGCTGCACGAGGGACGCTTCCAGGACTGCATCCGGGAGGCGATCCTAACATTGCGCATGATGTGATAGGGAATAAAGAGCAGAGAAAAGATGGCCACAGCCATGACGATCAAGGTGAGAGGTTTCTCTAGAGTCAGGGCAGCAGTGAGCTCTGCGCTGCGGCTTTTGATGAAGGCATGTGTTTTCCTGTAAAAATAGCACATGGCGCACAATGGGATTATGAAGCCAGTCACTGTCAATATCATACTATAGATTAGGCTGTCTTTTGCAACTCCGGAGCTTGCATAATCCACACACAGGCTACCATTGCTATTATTTTTCTGGTCGTTGAGGAAAGTGAACATGGGCGTCAGTTCCAATGTGACCACGACCCATATGGCGATTGATAAAACAATAGCCGTGCTTTTCTTCTGCAGAAAGTGATTTCTGAAGGGATACTTCATGAGCAGGTATCTGTCCATGCTGATAACAGTCAGGAAGAGGATGCTTGTATATAAGTTGACGTGCAGCAGAAACCTGTTGGCTTGACACCAGTCTTTCCCATAGGACCAATTCCCTTGAGAGTAACTTGACACCAGCAACGGGAGTGTGCAAAGGAATGAAAAATCCGACAGCGACAAGTTGAACAGGTAGATGTTGCCGCTTCTCCAGGTTTTGAGGCAGAAGATGTACCCAAAAACAACAATGCTGTTGCCAATGATGCCAAATATGAACTCCAACGTGTACATGGTGGAAAGGTAATATCTTTCCAGGGATTTCTCTCTATCCCAGCATTCTCTGATGTCACCTCCATCCTGGAAATGTAAAACAAATGTCAATTTTGTTTTTTGTTTTTTAAAAAGGCATTTACTTATTGCTTAGCTTACACAGCCAATGTGATTATTGCCTTCTCATATTCCTGCACTTTCAGTCATGCCAAATGTTAGATAAACACTTCAAGTTATTCAGTCCCTCTTCTTGCATAAAACAAATTTCATTGCAAAACTCTTCTCAAGAAAAATGAGGCGCTGCCGTCTTGACAAGGTGGGGACAACGAACTTGAATATGATTATCTTTGTATTTTCTTTGGTGTGTGTTTCAACAGGAGAGAGAGAGACTTTTTTAAAAAAGGGGTGGGTGGGAGATCACTTTCTTAGTGATCTTGACTTTTCTATGCTTCTTTCTTAAGAGTCTCTGGGATCTGAATTACTGCCATAGCAGGCTGGGAGGCTGAGGAAGTTCCCCTCTAGCTTCACTTATTATCTGAGACACACTAGATTTAGAGTGGTGTGGGTGGCCCCTTCGCACGGAGCGTCATGCTGAGGGGCCACAAAATAGGCATGTCCAAAGTCCGTTTTGGGGGTCCAATCCGGCCCACTGGTCAATTTACTCCAGCCCATGTGACAGTATATGTCCTGGGGTAAAATCCTTAAAAAAGCTCAAGAACTTTGGTTGGCCATCACACATGTTCACTTCATCAAATCTGGCACTCTTTGAAAAAAGTTTGGGCATCCCTGGCCTAATCTAACTGAGTCTGAAAAAAACCCTCCTCTGTTCTGTCTTAAGGCCAAATTTTATGTGCTATCTGTCATTTAGTTTGACATTGCATATATGATTTTGTTAAATAAATGGCTGGTACAGGAAGGCAGTGAGCCAAATTAGGTTCATGTAGGGGGAAGGGGCTTTAACACTTTGACCTCTACGTGCCTAGTATTTCCAATGAGAAGAACACTCTCATGGTGACCATTGGAGTTTTCTTCCCATTACAAGGAGTGGGGGCAGGGGTTGGAGAGGTGGAAATTTGGGGTGGGGGGGGGGTTTCCAATTCAGTTTACGTTTAAAGGCAAATCAAAAACAACTTTCAAAAACAACATGAAACCCAAAATACAGTAATCCTTCAAAAATTCACAAGTACCCAAATTTTGTGATGCAGTGCTGCACTTGAGTGATGTTTACAAAAACCCATTTATTAGGGGAACTTGTTCATAAAATTCATGTATTTGTGAATATAAAATTCAAAATGCAATGTGTATGGGGAAATTGCTTGCAAAAAATAGTCAAAACTGCATACAAAACTAAAAAGAAAAAAAAGACCACACAAAAATGTGGATGAATTTTCACAGGATTTTTTTTTTTTTTAGAAAATGCAAATTGCTGCAGAACAAGAAATTGCTGCAAACAATGGAGAAAAAAACCCCAAAAGAAATTACCGTATTTTTCGCCCTATAGGACGCACCGGCCCATAGGACGCACCTAGATTTGGGGGGGGGGGATAAAGGGGGGAAAAATTATTTTCCCCCCCCGGCGTGGGGCTGGGGTGGGGGAAGCTCGGGCTTCCCCCGACGCCAGCCCCCAGAACAGGACCCAGAGCGATGCCGAAGCTGCGTGCAGCTTCGGCATCGCTCTGGGAGCTTGTGGGGCTGGGGGCGGGGAAAGCAGAGCTTCCCCCTCCCCCAGCCCCCAGAACGGGACCCAGAGCCATGCCAAAGCTGCGTGCAGCTTTGGCATCGCTCTGGGAGCTTGCGGGGCTGGAGGAGGGGGAAGCCCTCTGCCAGCCTTCTAACCAAGTCGGGGGACAGCGGGAAAGGCGCGCTGCGCCTCCCCGCTGTCCCCCGAGTTTGTGGGGCTGGCGGTGGGGCTCTCCTGAAGCCTGGAGAGCGAGAGGGGTTGGTGCGCACCGACCCCTCTCGCTCTCCAGGCTTCAGTGAAAGCCTGCATTCGCCCCATAGGACGCACACACATTTCCCCTTCATTTTTGGAGGGGAAAAAGTGCGTCCTATAGGGCGAAAAATATGGTAACTCAAAGACTGAAATACAATTTAAAACTCAATGAGTTGTATCCAACATTAATCAGATTCAGAGTAGAACCACTGAAATAAACAGACACATTCATTGATTCAGTGAGTTTACTATGACTAATGCTGGCTATTAAATTCGCACACTGATTTCAGTGGGAACTTGTGCAGCTAGCTTACTCTGAATCCAACTCAATATCTGCACATTGAGAAGTTTGTTTTTTCGGAGCCTAAAATATCTGAAGTAAATGAATTTGAACAAACAGGGGGCCAAATAAAAATAATAAAATAAGAACTTGCAGAAACAAGTTCTACTGATCCTCACTTAAAATGTGTTTTAAAAACAAGATGCCTTCTGAAAATTGGTTTCTTAGACAGGTATCTCGCAACTTACTTGCATTTAGCTTGTACACATTTGGCTTTATGCTCTTGGAATTATTATTATTATTATTATTATTATTATTATTCGGGTGGAAAGGGAGGGTGGAATTGGCAATCCCACCCTTCATTGCACCTGATGTGTTTTGTCTGTATACAATTTTGGCTTTAGGCTCTATCCCTGGAATGTAACCCCAGCGTAAGTTGAAAGTTGCCTGTACATCAAAAGAATGACTAGAAAGAAATGTGTAATTTAAAGAACTGCATATGTATTACAGACAGACAGACACACACACAGACACACACACACCTGCCCCAGTCAAGAGATTGATAAAAGGCTTTTCTCTTGTGCCTGTACCTGTGAATAAACTGCACCTAGCTGTAGACAGGCGTCTATGACTGGTCTGTGTTGGAGGAGATCCTTGCAATGTCAGTCAAGAGGTTATTCGTGCATCACCAAATTGCTAGATCTGATGTCTCCCAGGTGATATTTGAGCAACCCCAGTACAAATCCACCCCATGCAGAAAACAAGTCCAGTGCGCAGATAATATTCCTTCTATTGATGTACAACTGTAAAATGAATTGGGTGCGTAGTCTTGCAGCCAGTTTATCTCCTAGGTTATTTTTTTTCTGTACACAACACAGATGGAAATGCTACCACAAGCACAAGGTTTAACTAGGATACTTTTTTTTTTTGTAATGGATGTTTGCAAGCAATGTTAATATCCATTACAAAACAATACAGCAAATATTCAGCAATTTCCTTATTAAGAACAATATAAGCAATAAGATCACTTTGATCGCTTAGGTTTTATAAAGTAGCCTGCAAAAACCAACACAGCGCTCGTAATATCCAGGATAAAATTCAAAGACAGGGATTATCCCCTTTACCAATTTTGTTAACTTGTTTACATATATTCAATCATAATTACAAGGTATACAAAACAATCTGCAAAAATTCTATTTAATAAACTGAAGGATATTCAGCCTTTCCCCCCTTTGCTTACTACTTACCATTCTGTAGAATGGGTATTGTCTCTTACTAGGCTCTTAGTTGAACATGATCTCTCTGCTGAAAGGTTCGAGTGAAGTAGAATGTAGTTCAACATAGCCATGCCTCATTTACATAATATTCAGCACATGGTTAATGATTCAAGGATTCCGGAAACTCGTTTGACTGAGAAGGATGTGCAGGCAGTTCCACTGGAATAGAAGGTATTGCAAAATCCATTCTGAGTCGACTGGTGAAATAATGGAAATATAATCCCTTCTAATGCCCTGCTGAAATCTTCCTGGTGCTCACTTTCCAAAAAACTTTTCTTTAGACAGTGTGTGCTGACGGGTCCTGTTCTTTAAAAAGGAAACCAAAACCAATATTTGAATTCAACAGATGTATGCTGCTGCTTTCGAAATGCCTATGAAGGGTGGGAAATGACTTTGTGACTGAGTCATAAGATGAAGTGCAACTTACTCAAAGGCTACTTGCTAACCACGCCTTGCTGCGTCTCAAGTACCTGGATTTAAGCCTATTTAAAGCCCAGTTAACAGAGTAAAATCTAGTAAACCTCAATGCTTTAGCTTGCCTTGATTGTGTGTCAAGCTCAGTCTTGACTTGCCTGCCTGCTTAATCACACTTGTTGTCGAATCTCTCCAGCAGATTTGATTAGCCTAATTTATTGCACTTCCTCATAGCTTCTCTGTGCCAGTGCTCCTTCTATCCTCTCTGACTTCACCAAACAGTACAGTGGTACCTCGGGTTAAGTACTTAATTCGTTCCGGAGGTCCGTTCTTAACCTGAAACTGTTCTTAACCTGAAGCACTACTTTAGCTAATGGGGCCTCCTGCTGCTGCCACGCCGCCAGAGCACGATTTCTGTTCTCATCCTGAAGCAAAGTTCTTAACCTGAAACACTATTTCTGGGTTAGCGGAGCCTGTAACCTGAAGCGTATGTAACCTGAAGCATATGTATCCTGAAGTGTATGTAACCCGAGGTACCACTGTATAGTCAAAACAGGACACAGCTGTGCTATATAGCATTGGGGTGGCATGGGCTAATGTATGCGTGAGTGATCAGCCTTTGATGTTAGCTCCTGCATGCGCAGAGCTTTTTTTTTGCTTTTTTTTTTTACAGAGCATCCCACATAGACCCCCCCCCCTCCGGCAGCCTGAGCAGAAGCACTTCCACATTCTAACTCATCAATTCTACCATCTTTTGCTGAATGCTTCTAGGGCCCCTTTCCTATGCATGTGCTTTACATGCAGAAGCATCCAGATTTAGTCCATGCTGAATCTCACTGGAGTCCTGAAAGCCCTGGAGTTTCACTACCAGCCAGTGTTGGCAATACAGGTTCTGCCTCCTGCATAGGGTCCTTCATCAACTTTCCATCACCTTCACCTGCATGTTCACGCCTCTTTAACCTTGCATAGAGGACCACACTCCACTGGTGGAGTGGGAGTCATCACAATACGTCAACTCCCTGTGCCCAGAAGTGGCTGGCGCAGTGGGGTGGTGCTGTCACAGCCCTCCTATGATGCTGCCTCTTACTAGGATGAAGCACGGCAAGGCAACCTGAGGTTGCGGGGGCACTTGTGTATGGGTTCACCAGCAGAGCAACCCCCCTGCTCCTGCTAGCATGCCTGCACAGCCCGAATCTCCTTGCTGCCCTGAACTGCCTGCCTTTCCTGCCCGTGTCAGCAGACAGGGTGAGCGATCCCATACCATATGGGGATGCCATCACTTCCCTTCTCAGTGTTGGTCCAGATTTAAGTGGGGAGGTGACTGCAGACAAAAGGGACCTCTGTGGACGCTTGTGTCAGAGATAGGGGAACTTGGAACGTCTCTGATATTAATGGAGTGCAGCTCTGATCAGGAAGAATGAGAGTTGTAATTCAACAATACCAAGAGGGCGACAAGCTCCCCATCCCTGCCCGGTATTATTCAGGGAAGATTAAAGTAGATTAAAGGATTAAAGTAGACTCCCAATTGTACCTTAGCGAGCAGGACTTGCTGACAATCAGATGACAGCAAGCCCTTTGGGGATCAATTGGTCTTACTGGCGGTGAAAGGTCTTGCTGTCAGTGATGATCAGCTTTGCTAGTCTAGGGAAGGATAATGTTCATTTACAGGCGTGGTTTGAATAATAATAATAATAATAATTTATTATTTATACCCCGCCCATCGGGCTGAGCTTCCCCAGCCACTCTGAGCGGCTCCCAATCAAGTGTTAAAAACAGTACAGCATTAAATATTAAAAACTTTCCTAAACAGGGCTGCCTTCAGATGTCTTTTAAAGATAGGATAGCTGCTTATTTCCTTCACATATGAAGGAAGAATGTTCCACAGGGTGGGTGCCACTACCGAGAAGGCCCTCTGTCTGGTTCCCTGTAACCTCACTTCTCGCAATGAGGGAACCGCCAGAAGGCCCTCGGCGCTGGATCTCAGTGTCCGGGATGGATGATGGGGGTGGAGACGCTCCTTCAGGTATATAGGACTGAGGCCGTTTAGGGCTTTAAAGGTCAGCACCAGCACTTTGAATTGTGCTTGGAAATGTATTGGGAGCCAATGAATCCAAACTGTACCTGCGGTCGGGCAAAGCATGGCTCACAGCAAGCCCCTGTGAAGGTGCACATCAGTGCCAGTTGGCACACCTTCAAAGGGCTTGCTGCTCATTGCCAACGCTGAGCCCCTTTGAAGTTATAACTTGCCATCATGATGACATCAGATGATAGTGGGGAGCCCCAGCCACTGAACACAATGGTTCGTGCAAGAGGTCTGGCTCTTTTAAAGCAGAGAACCTAACTGAATCATTCTCAAGTGTTTTTGAGCCTTCTCGGTAGTGGCACCCACCCTGAGAAATCCCCTCCCATCAGATGTCAAAGAGATGAGTAACTATATAACCTTTGGAAGACTTCTGAATGCAGCCCTGTATAGGGAAGCTTTTTAAGGTTCAATGTTTTATCATGTTTTTATATACGTTAGATTCTGCCCAGAGTGGCAACCTAGTCAAATGGGCTAGTTACAAATAATAAATTATTGTTATTCTTTATTGAAAGAACAAAGGACTTCACGTACATTGTCTTGTTGCAGTTTGCACAACAACCCTGTAAGGTAGAGAAGCATTATCAATACAGTGGTATCTCAGGTTATATAGGCTTCAGGTTACAGACTCCACTAACCCAGAAATAGTGCTTCAGGTTAAGAACTTTGCTTCAGGATGAGAACAGAAATCGTGCTCTGGCGGCGCGGCGGCATCGGGAGGCCCCATTAGCTAATGTGGTGCTTCATGTTAAGAACAGTTTCAGGTTAAGAACGGACCTCCGGAACGAATTAAGTACTTAACTTGAGGTACCACTGTATCATATTGCAAATGGGGGGGGGTGTTCTAACACAGAAAGTATGCCACCTAGTAAGTTACATGAGTTTAAAGTCACATAATAACGTCAATGGAAAGTTGAGTTTTGAAGCAGGGACGTCCTGATCCATGCCTGCATGTCACAACAATAACATTACATCACCTCTCAATTAACTAAATTAATGCACTGAACATGAATCCATGAGTTCCCATCGCTTTACACTGTGAATGTCACCAACAGAGATGCTATCCCTCAATTTTATATGCTGGCAGAATATTTTTCATGTTGGCATATCATGCATATCACTTTACGGACGTGAGTTTGCTTTCGAGTCCCAGACATTTTCAGATCATTGCCTTTTGTGTTTAGCTTGTGTTCTGATGACATATTATATAGGAGCCGGCCAAAGCTAAGCACTCTTTAAGTCCTATTGATTTCCATGTTTGCTTAATTCTTCCACTGAAATTATTGGGACTTGAAAGTGCTTAGCTGTGTGCCCCCCCCCCCCGAAAAGCTCATTAGGGCTCGATTTCACATAAGCACACAAAAACATCTTTGTTCGCACAGTGGCAGGAAATTTCCTGCCACATATCAACTAGCACTCTGCAGGCGCTCCATAACTTTTTTATTGGAATAAAGAGACAAGGAAATGGTAAAAAGATAATTCTGATTTCCCTGTGGAGCATACTATGGTCCTGGTATTTGTACTTAGAGCACACTGTAGCACTTCCTTTGTACAGAAGGCATAGCAGATGCATTCACAGAGCAATAATGGCTTTTATTGTCCATTATCAGAAAGCAAAAATGCATAAAGCATTCCCAACACTGTGCCTAGTAGCCCAGAACCTAAACAGATGCTTTGAGACTGCTGACAACAGGACTCAGTACATGGAGCTGCGTCAACACAAAATTGCATCACGTAATTGACACATTCAGTGGCTTAGTTCTCACATCACTAAACTATGGCTTATTAAACCATGGTTTATTTAACCATGGCTTAGCATTATGTGTGAAGCCAGCCCGGCAGCTTTAACTATGATTATTAAACATCCGTAAAGGTTGCTCATTGGCCAAAGCTTCTAGTTGGTTTATAAACTGTTGTTATGGAATTTACATCCTACAGCTCCTTAAGGAGCTCAGGATGGCAAACACATCAATAATATTTTTTTATTTTTTACAAAACAGTTTAAACATCCTAAAAACAGTTGCAGTTAGAAACCAGTGGTTTCAAGGTTGCCTGAAACAATGTCTTTCAGTTATCAAATGCCTACAGAGTTGCAAGTGAAGACTGGCAAAAGAAATAATAACAATCAAACATTTTTCAAGGCTTGGCTGCCTTCACCGATGCTTTTAACCATTCTGTGATGTAATAAACCAAGGTTTAAGTCAGGCATAGGCAAACTCGGCCCTCCAGATGTTTTGGGACTACAACTCCCATCATCCCTAGCTAACAGGACCAGTGGTCAGGGATGTAGTCCCCAAACATCTGGAGGGCCGAGTTTGCCCATGCCTGGTTTAAGTGCGCATCAGCCTGATGTCTCAGCTTTAACTATGGTTTATTAACTAAGGATAAGTTTAATTATGGTTTAGGGGTGTGAGAGAATCAGAGCAGTGTAAATACTTCTTCTTTTTCAAAAAATGCTATTCCTTTTATAACACAACACAAACAGAAAAAACAAACAGTACAAACAAATTCTTGTCTTATCCTTATTTTTTTCTAAACATTGTTAGGTGAGCTTCCCCAAGTCCCCCCTATCTGATTTTCATTTTACCTCATCTTTAGCAGTTTACATATATCATAATTTTAAACCATTTTTAAAATCACACTTACTTTTACCATAAAAATTTTAGTCCTTACATATAATACTATTTTAAAATACACTATCTTCTACTTCTAACCCTACAGCCTATATCAACTTCCAAAGCTATTCTAAGATTTAAATATTAACATATTTTTTTGAAATATTCTTTAAACTTCTTCCAATCTTCTTCCACCATCTCTTCTCTCTGGTCCCGGAGTCTCCCAGTCAGTTTGGCAAGTTCCATATAGTCCATCATCTTCATCTGCCATTCTTTGATAGTTGGTAAATCTTGTTTCTTTCAATTCTTCGATAGTAATATTCTCGCAGCTGTTGTGGCATACAGAAAAAAAAGTAACATCCTTTTTGGGGATTTCACACACACACACACACACACACACACCCCTATTACCAAGTAAAAGGCTTCTGGAAGAGCAGTGTAAATACTGAAGGGCCAAATTACAAATGGACTGGAAGGTGTTGTGCAGGGAAGCCAGAGCAGACCCTACCATTCCCTTATGGGGGAAGGCCAGAGTTGCATGTGCCACATATTCTGCCATGCACCCCTTAAACTAGGCTGCCACCCTCTCACCACTGTTGAATAAGAGTTAACTTCCAATCCACTTGTATTCTCTATGTGGAATGAAGGGAGAGGCCAGCACCAGGAATCAAAGTACTGTATCTGCTTGTCCATACCTTCCAATACTTTGAATCCAAATTCCCAGATGCCCATCTTCCTGAGCTCAAAGACTATTGGGTTGCTGTGATCTCGTGCAATTTCATGCCTCAGTCCCCCTGCCCCTCAAGTGCTTTTGTTTGGGGTGTGTGTGTGTGGAATTAGCACCATGAAATCACGTAAGAGATCACAGCAACCCAAATGGCCGCTGTTCTTTCGTGGTAAAAAAATTGGGATGTCCCAGTTTTTTCCAGGGTGCTTGTGGGGTATTCTTGCCTGAGCATATCTGAAGGGGGATTTCTGGATCACAGCCTTTATAAGTTAATAAATTATATGGCAGAACAGAAAAAGAAGGCTCTTTTTTAACGGTGGATTTGCTCTTATCCAGAAATAAATTTTCCAAAAGTTACAGCTTAGCAGTCTCTTTGCTTTGGTCTATCTGCAGAACGGAAAGGCAGACTTCCTCTTTATGCCTTTCCCGTCTCGGTGCCGAAATTCCTCAAATTTAGTCAATTTAGTCCTTAAATCTTTATTCCTACTCACGGGTATTTGCTCTTTTCGGATCCAATTCTT